AGAGAGACCCTACAAATGTTCTCAGTGTGGGAAATGCTTCAGTCACACCAACTGTTTGAAGATACATGAGAGAATTCATACTGGGGAGACATATAAATGTTCTCAGTGTGGGAAATGCTTCAGAGAGACAGGAATTTTGAAGAGACATCTAAGAATTCATACTGGAGAGACACCGTACAAATGTTCGCAATGTGGGAAAGGCTTCAATTTGATGGGAACTTTGAGGAAACATCAGCGAATCCATACTGGAGAGAAACCTTACAAATGTTCTCATTGTGACAAATGCTTCAGGGAAACAGGAATTCTGAAGAGACATCAAAGAACTCATACTGGAGAGAGACCCTACAAATGTTCTCAGTGTGGGAAATGCTTTACTCATACTAATGTTTTGAAGATACATCAGAGAATTCATACTGGGGAGACACCATATAAATGTACTCAATGTGGGAAAAGCTTCAGTCAGATGGGAAATTTAAAAACACATCAGAGAATTCATGCTAGAGAGAATCTTAATATGGTACAAGAATTCATATTGGCAAAGGACCATGCAAATGTTCTGAATGTGGGGAAGACTTCTGGGAAGCAAGAATTCTGAGCAGATGTCAATTTGAGGAATACTTATTTCATTAATCCATCAAGGAGCTGACTTCAGGAACAACTGGTGAACTCATAATCAGAGAAGCACTACATAGTTGTTTTCAGTATGGGAAATAGTTCGGGGAGAAGGAAGCTTTGAGTAACCATCATAGATGCAACTGAAACCTGCTAGGATACTTCCCCAAGACTGGAATATAGTAATACAAGGAACAGAAGCATCATAAGAAAAGAGAGTTGTATAGTATTACTGAATAAAAATTAGCGGAAGCTTAAATAAATTTGGTAGAAGGGTTATTGCCTACTGTCAGTCATCCAAGCTGTGAGGTGGTGGATTTTGTTTTCTGGCAGCAGGACTTAGATCTTAAGTAGAATTATGGTATTGGAAGTGGCCATTCAGGTCACCCAACATCCTGCTTAGGACCTTTTGAAAACAAGCCTGAAGAAAGATATGATTACACTCTTCAAGAAATGTTTGAGAGAGGCTATTCTTCAAGGGGCATCAAGCAGAATAGGTTTGTGGTATGTTCTCGGTAATTCCAGAGCGTAGAACGTTGTAAAGGAATTTGGAGGTGACCTTGGAGAAAATATGAAATAATTGTTAAGGAGGGACTTGCAAACAAGATTACACAATCCAGAGATTGAAGCCAGCGTGAGAAAGAAACTCAACCCCAGCTTCTTGTTGTTTAATATAAGACGGGACAGAGAGAAACTTGGACAGATTGGAATTATTCTCTACAATAATAAAACAGTATACCTGGAATCCCTATGGCGTCTGTGTCTTAACCTGGCCCACCTCGAAGGGCTGACCTCAACCTTGAAAGCTTTGCCAAGATTTTAATAAAATAAAGGCAGGGTTATTTTGGGTTTCTTTCTTCCGTTTCTGGACTGGGCAGTCTTTTTCTGCCGGTTCCTCCTCAGTGGTTCTTTCAAGGCTTTTCTCTCTAAATTTTTTACAAATGTGCCGTAAGTTATTTAAGTTACAGGTAGGGAGATTCCACATGAATGTAAGGAAAATCTCCTGGCAATGTGAATGATGTGAGTATTTGAACCACTTATCCATTGAGATGGTAGGCTTCCTTGACCACATGTGTTCAAACAGAGGCTGGAAAGACTATGGCTGGTGTGGGTCTTCCGGGCCGTGTGGCCGTGTTCTGGAGGTTTTGTTTCCTAATGTTTCACCAGCATCTGTGACCGGCATCTTCAGAGTGCAGGAGCACA